GACGCACATCTTCTGTAAGTCTGTTGTGGAGAGTGTTATGACTTTGGCCATCACCAGTTGGGGCAGCAGCATCAGAGCCGAGGTCCTAAAAAGGCTCAACAACCTGATAAAAATGCTGGTTCGGCTCTGGGAACTACAGTGGGACCTCAGGAGACGATGGTGCTAAGAAGGATTCTTCATAAAAACAAAAAGATGACGGACAACCCTGATCATCCTCTCGATGACACAGGTATGCAACAACAGAGCCTCTTCAGTCTGAGACTTCTTCAGACCTGCTGTAATACAACTGCCTACTTTTTGAAGATCATCAACAGAAATCACTCATATTACTGTTATTTGTTTTAATTAATTCTTTGCAGAATGAGTCATGACAAAATCTCTGGGATTCATAAAGTATTTTCCTATTTGAATGATGAATGTAAATGCATAACAACTTTGTGTTAGTGTTTATATTCATTGCCAGGTCATGTTGGGCATTTTATACAATTTCAAACAAATATTGAATTTAATTGAAATTATGTACAGGTTGTTGCAACTTAGTTATTTTTACATATGTTTCAATATGTTTGCAATGTTTTGTTATTCTTTCACCTTTTTCACAAACCCCTTTCAAAGTTGTCCTACGTTTGTGGTGACTCACAGAAATGAAGAAGGTGTCCGCCACCCCTTGGCGGATGTCACTGTTATTATTGCAAGAGACAACGCCTTGTGGAAAACGTCAACCCTGAGAGAATATTTTGAGACACTTGTTTGCTGTTTTGTGCTAGCAGCAGCTTCCCAGTAACATGCTGGCTTTAGCACCGCTCATTCTAACCCCCTCACACCAATTTTGCAAAGTATTATTGGAAAAAAAAAAAACAAAAAAAACATTACTGTAATGTACCTGTTCTTTTAATCCAGCATGGTTTGGGTTTCTTTAAGAAATGCATGCAAAGCATATAAAAAATAACAAGTAAAATAAAATTCACATTGTTTTCAACCTTCAGTAACTCAGTGGCGGTTGCCATGACTACACTTTGCCCACCTTCTTCTTCTCGTCACGAGCAGTGAGGGGCTAGTGCGCCGATATATGATGATACAGTGGGGTGCGAATGTTTGGGCAGCGTTGTTAATCTTCTTGATTTTCCTGTATAAATTGTTGGTTGTTACGATAAAAAAAATTTGATTTTAAATGTTAAATGGCCTGCGTTTGTATAGCGCCTTCTTAGGGTTCTACAACCCCCAAGGCGCTTCACAACACAGTCATTCACACGCTGGTGGGGATGAGCTATGATGTAGCCACAGGTGCTCTGGGGGGGCACTGATAGAGGCGAGGCTGCCGAGCACAGGCGCCACCGATCCCTCCGACCACCACCAGCAGGCAAAGCGAGTTAAGTGTCTTGCCCAAGGGCACAACAGCAATAATAATAATACATTTTATTTAAAAGCGCCTTTCAGGACACCCAAGGTCACTTTACACAAAACACGTAATAAAATACAATAAAACAATAATAAAACCCAAAGAAGAAAAAACAAAGAAACAGTTCAATAAAATCTGAGGTTGTAGGCAGATTTAAACATGTGTTTTGAGTTTTGTTTTGAAAAGGGTAAAACTGTCGACGTTCTGTCATGATTCTAAGAGACTCTGGAGCGAACACACCCGGACACAGGAGAAAGTTTAACAGTTTTATTGAAAAGTTCAGCGGGTTCTCAAAATGGTGGAGGAACTCTGGACGGTTTTGCAGAGGCGGTTTGGTCTGCGTGGCGAGGAGTGTTTGGAGAGGAGGTGAGGTCCAGTGTGGGAGTGTGGCAGGCTGAGGTTGAGATTTTGCTGGAGGCTCGAGGGTGGACAGGCAGGTGGAGAAGAGGAGGATCCAACAGGGCGTGGATGAAAAGGCTGAAGCACAGCAGCCAGGAGGAGCACTGGGTGAAGCAGACACCACGGTTCAGGGAAGACGCTGGGAGATCCTGGGAACTCAGAAGGTCGGGACGACAAGCTGTGTGGCTTAATCATCTGGCATCTGCTTTCCTCCTCCGGCCAGCTTTAAGTGCTCCACCTTAATTGCCTCTGATCAATGGCACCTGGTGCGGCCTGCCTGTCACACCTGAGGAGAAGAGGTGAGGAACCACACACACACACACACACACACACACACACACACACACACAGAACCTCACACGTTCCTGATGTCTGGGGGAAGTGAGTTCCAGAAACGAGGAGCAGAGCGGCTGAAAGCTCTGCTCCCCATGGTAGCGAGACGGGCAGAAGGAACCGCAAGATGGATGGAAGAAGAAGATCTGAGTGAACGGGACGGGGTGTGAATACTTATAAGGTCTGAGATATATGGAGGAGAGAGGTTGTGGATTGCTTTGAAGGTATGAAGGAGAATTTTGAAGATGGACCTGAATTTAACTGGGAGCCAGTGAAGCTGCTGGAGAACCGGCGTGATGTGGTGAAAGGAAGGGGTTCTGGTGATAATACGGGCTGCTGAATTCTGGACCAGTTGCAGTTTATGAAGGAGTTTGTTGGGAAGACCATAAAGAAGTGAATTGCAATAGTCGATACGGGAGGTGACGAGGCTGTGGACGAGAATGGCGAGAATGGCAGCAGAATTCTCTGGTCGGAGCTGGGATCGAACCTGCAACCTTCCGATTCCTGGACAACCCGCTCCACCTCCTTAGCTGCTGCTGTTGAATATATCATATTTGGGACACACAAAAGGATATTTGAGGTGCGAAAGGAAGTTTATAGGATTTACAGAAAGTGTGCAATACTTGTTTAACCCTTACCCAACATTTAAATTTTCTAACGTTAATGTCATTTGAGCACAAAAATACGTGTCAGCACAAAAAAATGCTTTAATGTTGGGTAAGGGTTAAACACAATTAGGCAGGTGCATAAATTTGGGCACTGTTGTCATTTTACTGATTCCAAAACCTTTAAAACTAATTATAGGAGCTCAAAATTGGTTTGGTAAGCTCGGTGACCCTTGACCTCCAGGCACAGGTGAATCCAATAATGAGAAAAAGAACACAGCCTTCCAAGAAAACCTGCAGCAAAATATGTAAAATATTTCTTTTTCCAAATGTAAGCATCTACCGAATTTTGTTTAAACATTTATTGCACACTTTCTGTGTATCCTAAAACGTTGTTTCACTTGCCTAACATCACTGCGCGTGACTCCTATATGATATATTTAACTGATTTTTTTTATCGTAACAACAAAGGATTTATACAGGAAAATCATGAAGGTGAACAAGGCTGCCCAAACCTTCACATCCCACTGAATTTGCAATGTGTCACGCGTGTGGGCGAGGCGAGCGGAGGTGAGGACCCAAGTGCAGGGGAAGAAGCAGGCAGGAAGGCAGACAGGAACATTTCAAACAAGGATTTAATGATGGACACGCAGGACAATGAAACAATGAACTGACAAGAGACACAGAACTGAAGCGGTTTAAATACATGAGGGCTGGGAGCTTGGGTGATTGGACATCGAGAGGCAGGTGGGAGCAATTAACAGAGACGCATGACTGAACAGAATGGGGAGACAGGACAGGGTGTGACACAATAGCTGCGTTTACATGAGCCAAATTTCCTCAATCCGATTGAAATCTTGGTTGATCGGAATTTCCGAATCTCAGTTCACATGGACACGAACTGAAATGATCCGATCGTGCCGTGCGTGCAAATGCACCAAGCATTTAATCCGATTAAATAGGTTGAGCATGCGCAGAGTTGCCTTTCCCGAAAGAAAAATTGTAAACAAACGCCATGAAATGAAATGAAAAATGTAAAAACAGAAATAACTATTCTTCCTGCTTTCCTCATTCGTTTATTCAATTTAATATTTTTATTTAGCTCATAGAAGTGACGTTTTCTTCGGTGAATAACTGCAGATCTATGCTTTGCTGCATTTTATTGTTGGGGGGGTTAGACTCATGCTTTACTACTGAGCTCTGTTGTGGCTTATTATTAATAACATGTGACAATCAGCTGAAACTGTTGAGAAAAATCTGTTCAAACTAAATAACAGAAGATGTTCAGAAAGTTTAGAAGCCTGTGTTCATCATTAACGAACCGCATCTCAGGTCATCTGCGTTTACGTGCTTTTAACACGGACTTTACTGTCGTCCGGAGTGTTTAACCGAGGACGTGTTCCTACCCAGCATCAGCCTCCAATCAGGTCTGTAAAACCCAGATTATCCTGTGTTCTTTACAAGCGCGTCTCCATCACCTGCTGCAGAAGCTGCTGCGTTCAAAGCTGACAGAAACGGGGATCCGTGCGCTGCAACCCCCGCGATAAACCTGCGTACTTCCAGTACAGATTTGAACGTGTTTGTCAAATGATTTGTGCAATAATCAGATTTTTATCTTACTTGCACAAAATGCAAGTTCTGAATTAAATATTACTGAAACGGGGACGGCTTGTCGTCGGATTTAAAAGCCGCCGCTCGTTAATGACGCCGTCATTTTTGAAGTCAGGCAGTCCAAATGACAGCGGAGAGGCCCGCTGGCTGTTGCACACATGCGCAGTGGGCATTATTTTACCCCAACAATCCGAATGGCTGTGTACATGCACGTCAATCGGAATGAAGGACGGAATAAACCACCTCTCTCAATCGGATTGAAATTTCAATCCGATCGGGCCGAATCGGATCAGAATATTCCAATTGACATGTTTGCATGCAGAATTTTCGATCTGATTGGGAATTCAATCCGATTAAATATGCGCATGTAAACGTGGCTACTGTTGGATTTCTTTACAAGTTAACAGCAAAAACCCACATGCACGGATAATGGCTACCTTTTCTGAAATAGATGGAAAAGTACATTTTATTTCACATAATTATCATGCAACAAATAAAATAATTTAAATTTCCTCTTCTTCTTCTTCTTCTTCATCAAAAGTACCCGATGAACAAGAGTTTGAATAGGACAGCCAGGCAGAAGAGGGGAAGCTGCGCTGTGATTGGTTGTTTCTGCAGCCTCCTGCCTCACAGATATAACAGCTCGGAGCAGCTGAGGAGCTCAGAGGGAGTTGACAGAGGAGGGCGACCCTCAGCTGTGGAGTACGGACTAAAAGGTTTAACTACAAGGGAAAGAAAAGGTTTTACTAAAAACAATTCACTTGTTGACATTGCTGGACTTTGATCAGAAAAGTTTGATCTGCAACACAAATTGGTAAGTTTTTCACTCCATCTATCCATCCAAACCTCAACATATTATTAACATTTTAAACTATTTATATTGTCAACTCTCAACAATGAAAAAGTAAATTTTGTTTGTTTGTTTGTTATAACAGGGGCTCCAACAAGGCAACAAACATGCTACAATAGCATAATAATATAAAGTAATACTGTTTTTCATACTTCCCTGCATTCTCAGATTGGTCTCTGTTGTTTGTTTGTTGTCTGATTTTGAGTGAACTTGTGATTTGTGAAGTGTTTTTGTGCCATAGAGTTAGTCGTTTTTGTGTTTTCTAAAATTGAGCACTCACAAACATGATGTGCTACAAACACAATAATGCAGTAAACATGCTTTCTTTTATTTTTTCATTAGAAATTTACAAATATATGTATATATTTACATGTATGGTTGTTGTTTTGTTCAGATTCCTGCAGGCCGTTCACTTTGCTTTTAGGACAGCTGTGGGGTATTACACAGTCCTTTAAATCAGTTAAATGGTTTCCAAATGTTTATCTGCAGAAACAATTTTGTGTTTTTTTTTCTTACTAAATGATCCTTTTCCTTTTGGTTCTGCCTTTCCTGTGCCTTCCTTCACCTTCTATTGTTCTCCTAAACCCTGCAGCAGGACACCTCTCATCCGCTGCACGTCTCTGACCTCCTTCCAACACTCACCTAACCCAGAACACACGGTCACGCGTGTTCTGAGAGCGGACAGGAACTCGTCCTCCGCCAGCGTTACTCCACCTCCTTTCGAAGAAGTAGAGTTGGCTGGAGGTCAGACGCGGTTTCTAAAAGAATAAAAGGATCAGCCAAATCAAAACTCAGCTTGCTAGTTAGATCAGACGGTCCGGCTCTAATGGGGCCTAATGAGCTGTCATGTCACACACAAAGGCATCATTCTCAGACACACAAAGATTACGCAGAGCTTTTACTTGTGATGTGAGACGAAGTCCGAGTTTTTGAGCTGATTGTGTTTGTGAATCTGTGCATGCGTACGTGTTTACTTCAAGTGTGTGCACGTGAACTTTATAAAACCTTTTCTATGAAAGAAATATAAGCGTGTGTGTGTGTGTGTGTGTGTGTGAGAGTGTGTGTGTCCTCCTGGCATGTTGCCATTATACTCAAACAGCCCATTTATCCTGAGATGCTGGAGGCGTTCCTTCAGGACACTCGTGATGTTTGACAGTCAAACTCAGTCAGAGAGAGAAAGAGGGGCTTTCACACACGGAGATGCTGATCTTCATCTGACCTCGGTTTTTACTGCTCCACTTCTTTTCTCCGCCTTCATTCGGTCCTCGTTCTCATTATTGCCCTCCACTGGGGGGGTGCACTGATGCTAACGTGTGTGTATGATAGCTTATCAGCGTATGGATGTTGATGACACGCTATAGACCAGTAAACACTGGATGTTAATCTTCAAGTCTTTACAGACCAAGTTCACTGAGAAACCGTTTTTGACTTTTTGATAAATAATCAATCACTCTGTGTTTAACATTCAAGCTAAACGTGAAAATACTTTACCTCTAATTTCTGCATTAGCTATACACGAGTAATTATTTGGATTGGATCAAATCAATTCCATGTCACATTGTCAAATTAGCATTCCTGACTCAACCCTGTTAGCTTACGACGAGGAAGGCAGTTGTTGACTAGAAGCTAACTGTTAGCATTGGCTACTTCCCAAGACAACAAAGCAGTGGTAGAGTCACATGTAAGCCAATCAGTGGAGAGATGTCTGAATACCAGGAAATTAGGCTTCAAATCCTGCTGTCTTCTGCTTGCCTCTCCTCTGGCTAACTTCTACTTCCTGCAACTGAAGCGTCAGAGCTTTTTTTCCTCAGAGATCGACTCACAAGGTGTCGGTTTATCCAAGAGACCCCTTCAAATGTATTGAAAAAACAAGAGAACTTGGTCTTTACCTCTGGGCGACAGTCGTGTTCAAGGTGGCTGCTACAGCCAATCAGGAAACAGAAAAAAGATGGAACTCATTCACGTTCAGCCATTGAGCCAAACATGCAAACAGATCAAATTATATCAGAAAATAATAACCAACATCATGTGCAACAGTATAATACAAAAAAGCTAAAACTGCATTATTTCTTAACACAAAATGATGAAAATGTTAAAATTTCTAAAATATTAGAAATTAGTAATGGAAGAAGATGTTTTAAAGACAGATCATGTAAAATATATACTGTTGCTAAAGCGACAAAAATAAGAACGATAAACAGATCAGATTATTATTATCCAACTAATGACATTTTCTTTAAATGACCAACTTTAAAATGATATAATTTAGTAAAACTCTAAACTCTGTTGTCAGTATAGTTCAACAAATTTCATTTATGTCAGTAATTCTACTTAAAAAGTTAAAATAATATATAAAACAGACTTGTTACGTGCAAAGCCAGATATTTCATGCCTTTATTTGTAATAACTGCGATGATTATGGCTTACGGCTTTTAAAAACTACATTCAAAATTTCAGGCATTTAGAATATTACATGAAATCAATAAAACAATGAATTTAAATAGAGAAATAATGAGCCCCTTAGGCTTTGACTGAAATAAATGAACTTTTGCATGATATTCTAATTTTTTAAGTTTTCCCTGTATACTTCCCCCAAGGTGTTCACAGAAGTTGTTTGAAATGATCTTAAATGAAGAGAGAAAGGTTTAGGCTGTTTAAGTTCCTTAATGGGTTAAAATTCTTTATTGATTTATTAATTTTTTATATTAATTATTTCATCAAGGGTGAGGTTGGGTTAATCTTGCGCTGCAAGATGACCTCGCGAGATTTGGAGTTTTCCAAACTCCGGAGAATCCATCTTGAACCGCTCCAGTTCAAACAGTCCGACCTCGGGCCCAAAACAGGCCGGACCAGGCGTGTGTCAGCACTGTGCTGTAGGGTGGGAGTTAGTTTTGTTGATAGTGCTAAGTGAGGGCACTTCATGGGGTTTTAACTGGAAACACGTTAGTGTGCTCCGTTAGTGTGCCTGCTAAATGACAAGAACATCAGACTCCCTTTCATCACCGGCAACGAGTGAAGCAGTAAATGTGTAAAACAACAGCCGTCTCCTTGTGATCCCGATAGTCAGGACGCACACCCATGGTGAACTTCCAATTTTATAGCCCTTGTCAACGGAACAAGCTCATGGAGGACCTCAGGGTTTTTAAGAACAGGATTAAGACTCACCTTTTTAGCTTGGCTTTTAACTTATTAGTATTTAGGATTTACTTGCTTATATTTTAAGACAGCTTTGTTATATATTTATGTTTTTATATAGTTTTACTTTTTCTACAATTACATTGATCACCATTTATTTATTTTTATATTGCCGCTTGTTAATTTATTCTTTTACCTTGTATTCTTTTAAAAAGCTGTGAAGCAACTGCAGCTTGTTCAGAAGTATGCTGCTAGAGTCTTAACAAGAACCAAGAGAACCGAGCACATCACTCCTGTTCTTAAATCTCTACACTGCAGTAAACTACTGAATCAATTTCTAAGCACGTCTACTAGTTTATAAGCCACTCAATGGCATGGGGCCAGAATACATGTCAGATCTCCTTCAGGTATGTACACCCAGCAGGGCTCTGAGATCCTTAGGAAACAGTCAGCTGGTAGAACCCGGGTCAGAACCAAACAGGGTAACGCTGCTTTTAGCTACTTTGCTGCACACAGAGGAAATCAGCTTCCTCATGACCTCAAACGTGCCCCAACTCTAAACTTTTAAATCAAAATTGAAAACCTTCATGTATTCATCCGCCTTTGAATAAATGTTCTTATGCTGCACCTTCTGCACTGTATTTGCTCACCCTCTAACTTCAACTTATTCATTTTTAAATTGCATTTTCTGTCACGTTGGTTTTAATGTTCTTGCTTTTCTTGCTAATGGAAAGCACATTGAATTGCCTCTGTGTATGAAATGTGCTATATAATTAGAGCTGCCTTTACTTACCTATTCTAATACTTTACAGCGTTTCTTCTGTGGGAGCCCTCTGCCTCAGGGCCGGTGGTCGGCAGCAGTGGCCTGGGTGCTCTCCAGGTTGTGCTTGGGTGGAGGTGGGGGCCCTCGCACTCCCTCTTCTGGGTGCCCTGTCCCTATGTCTGTGCCCTGGCTGCTGCCATGGATCTGCTGCTGTTGGGGCAGATGGCTCCCCTGATGGTGTTTCCTTGCATTTCATTATGTAACTGACTCATCTCAATCAATCAATCAATCAATCAAAGCTTTATTTATAAAGCGCCTTCCGCAACCCTGTCAGGAAGCCCAAAGCGCTGAACATGGTATAGTTGTATGTAATTATATTGAATAAATCAACAATAAAAGAAATTCAAATTACAAAATACAAATTACAAGATACAAAATGGAAATAACAAGATAGATGAAACATTCCGGTAAAATACAAATGTGTGAAACACAATTGGATTGAGTGGATGGATTGAGTGTACCAATGAAAACTGTGGAATGGATTCAACATAGTAGAGGGCCAAAATCAAACATGTTCTGGAAACGCCAAGCGGAGGAGGTGTGATTTTAGGTGATTCTTAAAGACTGGCAGAGAAGGGGACAGCCTAACTGAGGGTGGCAACTGGTTCCAGAGTAACGGTGCTAGGACTGAGAAAGCCCGGTCCCCACGGGTACGACACCTAGACCGAGGGACAGCGAGCAGGCCTTGGTCAGAGGAGCGCAGAGCGCGTGATGGGGAATGTCTGTTCAGGAGTGTGGCCAGATAGGGGGGAGCACCACCCTGGAAGAAATGATAAACAAAGACAAGTATTTTGAATTGTGAGCGATAGGAAATCGGAAGCCAGTGCAGGGAGGCCAGAACTGGACTGATGTGGTCCCGTTTCCTGGTCCCAGTCAGGAACCTGGCAGCGCTGTTCTGCACAACCTGTAGCTGACGCAGTGTTGACTGACACAACCCTGCATATAGAGAGCTGCAGTAGTCAAGCCGAGAAATTACAAAGGCATGCAGTACCCGCTCCAGGTGGGC